GAACTGCCAAGTTCTAAACCAAGTGTGGAGCTCTTCTTAGGACAGGCTGTATACCCCTAAAGCCAGCCCTGTGATGGAATTATGTATGTGTCTCTCCTTCTTCATATCCTAACAGGGAGGAATGCTCCTGGCACAGAGTAGGTGCTGCATAAATGCTTGTTGACTGAATACACATATCCTTTCTAGAAGAATTTGAAAGTATTGCACTTTCATAGTATCATCACAAAATCACTCTAAATTTTGAAAACTTGATGAAGATGAGGAGACTGAAGCCAGTTAAATGTGTTTTTGTGAGTGATATGAAAATCGGAAGGGGAAGTAAGGAGCCATTGTTGCCCTCAATTCTAACTAAATTGAATGGTTCACTTCTGGTCCAGGTTGATTTTCAGAACTTACTTAGTTTTCTATTTCAAAAATTTTTGAAAAAGCAAGTTAGAGACAGATGATCCTGATCTACTCTATTTTATATTATCAAACAAGTCTTCATTTTATTCATGGTGTAAAGCATTGTCTTTCAAGACAATATTCCATACAACCATAAAGGTGATAGATTCAATCAGTGGTGCATGTATTTTGCGAATTAACTGTATTCACTTAAAATAGGCAATTTGGTATCAAGACAACCCTTTTTGTTTCCTTGATGCAAAATCAAATCTATGTAATCAAATCTATAACACTGATGTGATTACCAGTAAGTCCATTTTCAACTCCCAAGTAGGAGACAGATTTTTGCTATCAATGTTCTTAATGTTTTAAAGGAAATAAGAATTTGAAAATGAGCTTTAAATCCCAAGATAATTTTCCTTAAAGAATATAAGGCATGCCTATTTGCAAGTCACTTTTGAGAAAATGGTAATTCTATTTTCTTTTTTGCTGACTAAAGAAATTTCTACAGGGCCCTAACCGGTTTGGCTCAGTGGATAGAGCTTTCGGCCTGTGAACTGAAGGTCCCAGGTTCAATTCCGGTCAAGGGCACATACCTTGGTTGCAGGCACATCCCCAGTAGGAGGTGTGCAGGAGGCAGCTGATCAATGTTTCTCTCTCATCGATGTTTCTAACTCTCTATCCCTCTCTCTTCCTCTCTGTAAAAAATCAATAAAATAATTTTTAAAAAAGTTCTACAGGTCTCTAAAACCTTCAATGTACTGAACATATAGATGAAAAGAGATGTGATTGAATTAGTACATGAGTGTGAGACTTCTAAAGGGGTGGAGCAATGTAGGAGCTTCAGTTACTCTATCCTTTCTTCATTTTCTCAAGGTCAAGACAGCCTTTTGCTATAAAGGACAACGATGATATAAAAACAGCTCACATCTTTATAGTAGTTATTTTTATTTTTCAAAACACTGTTTTTTGTTCTCACACTATCATTTTTAAGAAAATAGAAAACTAGGTTATTTTTGTTTCCTCCAGGGAATTGTGCACACACACATTGAACAAAATTTAAGGAAAAAGAGAAGCAAATGATGAGCAAGTAAAAAGTATTGGAATTCAGTGGTCATTCAGAATAGATTTTTTTCTACCACAGTTAAAAAATCATTGTTATTTTAATATGATAGGCATACTTAGGCATACTCTTTCTGCGTGTTTAGAAAGAATATCACATATATAAAACATTTTTTCATGTCAGACTGTGTGAGTTTAACTCTAGGGACAGGGCCAGCAAACGAATCACAGAACCCAGTGCAAAATGTAAATGTGACATCCTTTGTTCCAAAATTATTAAAATGTCAAGTTGGGAACTGCCAAGTTCTAAACCAAGTGTGGAGCTCTTCTTAGGACAGGCTGTATACCCCTAAAGCCAGCCCTGTGATGGAATTATGTATGTGTCTCTCCTTCTTCATATCCTAACAGGGAGGAATGCTCCTGGCACAGAGTAGGAGCTCCA